ATAAAATGGCATATTTTGAGGTCTTCTTTCAGTTGAAATCATTACATCTTACAATGTAGTTATAAGTTACCAAATTCACTGGTTGGAAATACCTAATTTAAGGCTCCAAAATTGGGAGTCTCACTCCTAAATAGGGAGAGTTAGCAAGTATGCAGACAACATAACATGCTGATCAATCATTTACTCACTATCAGAACATTGAACTGTATGTACGTCTGTATTCCTGTATTACAGATTTTCTATTTGTTCATAAAATGATTTACTGAGTCTGATTATGTATAGAAAAACGAAATTGAGAGTGTTTTCTTTTGGATTGAAAGTGCACATATTATCAGTAACGTAGCATACATCCTTAACATGTAGATAGGTAACATTTTAAGGGTCCATGTTCAGGAGACCATTCTCATACTAAAGCATGGATTCCTGCGTCAAACCAGCTTTCTTGTAACTGGCCTAAATCATTTGACAATGTCCAAAAAGAAAGTCTAGACATTGGAAACAGTTTTATCTTAAAGTCTTTCTAAAGATTTTTTCTGATAATTGATATGAAAAACATGAAATTTGTATAATTCATTAGCGCACAACAAGAAACTGGGCCTGAGGTGGGAATCTGAGTTTGAGCATGAGAATGGCTATATAAATGCAGGCCTTAGTTCCATACTGGTATCAGTATTTGTTCCAGCGAACTGTCCTGGATCATTCTACTGAATAAAAAGCTGATGGTATAGACCAAAGCAAAAATGTGTTTCATGTCCTTCAAACCGTCCAAAGAATTATTTTGACCTTCCTCTTTGTTTTTGACAATATTGTTACAAATAAGTGCTTACCTTTAACATTTCTGACTCTAGTGCTCTATGATTAAAAGGTTTAACAATATTTTTAATCCCACAGAAATGTATTTTAGGGATATGGCTACATGTTGTCCATTGATCCATATAGCTCTTGACTGGATAACTTAAAAAAGTGTATATACAAAGTCCAAACTTGCTGTATGGGCTGCCCTAGTGGATGCAAAGACCCCTATTGATTATGGGCCCGTTTTTTTTTTTGATGCAAGGTCAACTATGCTATAAATAGAATTTTGCTTTGTTGCACTTGTCCAGATGATAACCAAGGAACAATGACCATACACAGTTAAAACTTGGCCTGGGAGTTGCCATAGTAAATGCTATGAAGCCTATTTTTGGTGTGGTCCACAAGAGGTCAAGGTCATTATTGCTAAAAATTGAATTTTGCATTTCTGAATGATAGCTTGAAAAATATATTTATTACATTATTATACAAAGTTTAAACTTGGTTTGTTGGTAGCCCTAGGCCTAACAGATACAATGAATCTTCGTGATATTTGCTGCAGTCCTTTAAAGGTCATCGTCACTATTGGTAAAATAGATTTTTGCTTATAGGTTGTCCAACTTAAAAACCAATCATTATACACGGTTCGAAATCTGCATTTCATATTAGAAAATGGGTAGCAGATTGACATAGAATTATTGTAAAGCAGATTATGCAGAGATTTCTGCCTTTCTTATACACAAATTTGTAATGGATCAATAGCAAATTCTGCACCTGACTTTTCGAGGGGATATGCTGCCCTTTTTCGAGGGGATATGCTGCCCTTGCAGGCTTTCTCTTTCTATTTACCTACCAACACTATGGGTTTTAATTATAGAACAAGAAACAAATAATTCAACTTTTGGCCTCATTGGGTTGACGATATTACAGAATATTGTTACAATGTTGCTTGTAGGGTAAAGCAATGCTTTGTAAAGCCTCTTTGTTGTTTGTGAGTGGATGCGGAGGACAATAATGGTAGTCTGGTTGTCCTTTACCTAGTATTGACCATAGCCTTTTGTTACAGCACAGACACAACTTACGTCTGTGTATTGCTTTGTTTACCCGGCATGAAAAGTAAATAGTTTTTAATGGAATCCATCACATGGCAGTATTGCTATTTCTGTTAAATAGCTTCCGTTTTATATACTTGTAACTCAATATATTGGAAACACTGTTAGTTTACCTGATTTGTACTTAGTTTCATAATCACATTGCAGACCTTTCCCTCAAGGTAGAAACAAATTACTGGACACATGTAATCAGTGTTCTCCCCAGAATGTTTTGAAAGAAGCATGGAATTTCAATATTTCTGTTAAAGCAGCACTCTATGTAAAATCAAAGCAGCATGGTAACTTTAGATTTACTATGAATATATAGCAGAGCAGATCTAGGATAGCAGCATGGCAAGAAAGTATAGGAGCATGGTGCCATGCTGCAAAAACAGCCTGGGGAGAACACTGGTAATGATATGTTTTTACTCAAATAGATCAGTAGGCTATTTTTATTTCTGTCAATGATGGTACATTCAACCTGTATACAGTTTTACTAATACAATCAAACCTGCTCCTGCAACCACCTCCATTAAGAGACCACCTGTGTTGATATGTCACTAATTTAATGCTCCCCATTAGAGGGATTTCATTGTGAATTGAAACTATATTAAGGAATCCTGTACTGTGACTAATTACTGGAAACGGGTTTTTATTCCGGATGACTAAAGCTTTGATAAATCATTTCTCACCTTACCTTGCAGAATTTTAATGAGAAATATAGAATTGAAATAAGCAAAATATATTCAACAACAGTATCCTAAGTGGAAAAAAAATAAGTTGGGGTAGACTGAAGTTGGACTTCAGATGGGTATACTATCTCTATCACTGAGCTATCTGTCCAACAGAAGTGTCCTGGCCAGACTGCTACTGTTAAATCCAAACAGAAGTTAAGGGGAGGTTACTGTGCATAGGAAAAACAGCAGTATAGGTGGACAGGGATCCTAAGAGACCACTTTTTGGCCTTTCCTAGTGTGATCTTTTATTCATGTTTGAATTTACAGGTTCTCGAACATGAAAATAATTGGAATAGGTAGTAGCTTTAAAGTGGCCTATTAACACAAGTGGTCCCTGAATAGAGGTGGTCTCTAAAGCAGGTTTGACTATATTTCCTCCATTGCAGTATTTGACAAAATATATCAAATTCATAATGTTCAAAGGTAGTAACATGTTGATATATATAGGTAAATTGTTATAAAGTTCAATGTGCCAACATGGCAAAATTGATGAAATCAGCAGCTTTTATACCTGAAGGTGCCTTATAATTCATATTCAGCATCACAGGTCAAAAGTCAAGGTCACCTGAAAAGGATATATACATAGATGTAATAGGGTGCTCCTACGAAATGTTATACTTACTTAAGATACATTACCAAATCAAAATGAAACCTCTGTCATACAGATATAAAGTACAACATACTCTAACATGATAAAACCAGTCTTTCATTGCCATTAAACCTCTATTTCTCATTGATAAAGTCCTTATATTACCACAGCCTGGTTAAAGCTTACCATCAGCCCTCAGAATGACCTTATACTACTCCCATGAAACCCGACAACACCACAACTGTTGTACTGTTCTCCCATAACAAACCCCATAATTCCACTCCCATTCCGCCCACACAAATTCTCTTGATTGTCTTTTCCTATGGACCAGCCTGGAATAGAAACAACCCTCTAGGTAATGCCATGACCCAAAGGGGCTAACATTCATGATACACAATAACCCTTTGTCTACCAATGAGTTATGTTATATGTAAATATACAAGGTATGGACCGATTGTATATATTTACTTTCGATAGTGATGCTAATTGGTTTTGTGATTAATTATGTATGCAAGTGATTGGGTAAATGCCAGTTATCTCCCTTTTCATACTAATTGTCATTAGGCATTGTATGAATGGTGACCAAGTACATGCAAGTATTGATTGGTGGAGCTGGGACGAGGTATTCTGATTGGTCGTTTGGGACCCTCAGGCAACTCTGTGATAGCATGTACACCAAGCGGTACAGTGACTGCTGAAATAGTGATGAACACCACCTTTATTAATAATGAAACAAAATCCATTATACTGCAATATTTACAAGCTGTAAATAGTTATAATATGAAGCGTGTTCTTACAAACTTTAGAATATCACATCATATTTCATGAAAAACTAATCAAAATAAGGTCAATATGAAGTCAATATAATCAAGGAATAATCTGCTGAAGGAAAACGTTCCTTGCCATGTTCTGCTTCCTTATTGGAAATAAAACCATAACTTTTACACTGCACTTAAATTCCTGCTGAGATGACTAGAAAGCTTAAAATGTTGTTTACTAAGAAACTCCATCACTAGAATGTTCTGCATATTCAAGAAATCTGTAATAATTATATAACCAGTTCAGGCCCTTTTTATGTTGGTTGGAATATTATATTGGATACTTTCAAAGCAGGACTTTTTTGTACCTAAAATACCCTGGATTGGTCAAAGTGCCATTATCCCGGAATGTTTTGTGCTATTTTTGGTAAATTTTATAACTGAACTCATGAATTTTTTATAAGAAAAGTTGATAAGGCATTCAGGTAATGTTTGGTTTCACCCAAGATTGTGACAGGAAAGACTCGCAGCACAACGTGTTCGATCTCTGCCACCAATATTGGACCAGTGACTTTTCACAGTATATATGTATCCATAACAACCTGGAAACTGTTCATTAATATGAAATGAAACTTTGTGAACTGAGGCACTGTGAAATTGGGCTCCGGGGAAATTGGGGACATCGTCACTAGAATCAATAGGCTTAGCCATATAATGGTGGGCTCTGGCAGAGCAGGCAAGTCTGGCATACCTCGCCTAGTGCTGCGAACACCACAGCCTTCTACTCCACCACATCAGTGTACTTTTGTTATCAATACAGTTTGACTGTCACTACGTTTTGCATTAACCATGCCGTGTGCGGTACGGGCTGTCAAGTAGGTGTGAGGAGGGAGTTGACACACCCACGCTCTCTCCCCACCCCAGTACCTGGTAAGGATTTATATGCCTAGTCGCTCTCACTTTACTTCACGGTCGACTAGCTCTGCCATTGTGCTACTAGAGAAAGGTATGTCAACACATAGTCGCAGAGTGTAAGCCAGTGATACATAGGGACTGTACCGTCATTATATATATAACATTGTACGGATACTCTTCTACCTGTTAAACAGGTAAACACAGTGCTCTGACACTTTACCATTGATACAATAGCTCCTATCTGCTGCCATTTTACCAACATTTATATAGACTATTAATGTTCTATGGCATCAGATGTGAGACACAAGACTGATTGAGTGTTTTCTCATTTTTAAGGATCTTCCCATTTTGGAAAAGTTTAAACACTGCAGTGTTAGTGATGTTCCGGGTAATTCTACGGTGATACTACTATACCTACGGTAGAGTAGAGGCTGTACCTGGAGACGGTTATCAAGCCCCTTCTGGACCGAGATGGCTCTGATCTTGCACCTCAAGTATGCGGAGAACCTTCGGGGCCGAGCGGATCGGCTGGCCAAGGTCTCCTTTAGGGGTAAGTCCCATTGGAGATACCTAAATATTTTCCAGCCTATGTTTTAGGTTGACAGTGTATGTTTTGACATTATGTAAATAAGAGTGGACCTGTATTGAGTATGTGAGGTGAGCTGAGTCGCGATGCTTGCGAGCTTATTCTATCCCGCATCCTCCTCAAATTGTAATACTATTCAACAATTTACGAGTGTAAAGTGTAAGTTGTTACCCTTTCTCCCTTTTTTATTCAGACTCCCCGTGTTGAGGGATTACTAAACTGGTTGTATAAGGAGCTATACACAACATATATATTTAAAACGGGAAAACAAATTCTTATAACGTAGCAAAGGGAAAAAAATGTGCAACATCAGCGACGCTTTTAGAATATAGACGCACACATTATACAACAACATAAACAGTGTAATTTTATATCTGTGTATGGTTTCTTTAGAGTATATACCCCATTTTACCTTGAACATATTTACCTGAGGTTTTAAAATTGCCTGAGGAGGTTGCCTATTGGTTTCACCAGCTTTACCAATCACCAATTATCTGACCGGAACATTAAGTAAGGAGACTGGAAACAACTTTAATGACCTTTTATTGGACTTTCTTTCATGTTTGACCACCTTTATCCTTCGCAAATAAAAACTGATCACCAATCGTCCTAACTGTAGGTTTATTTCATGGTTCAGCTAATACATGCGTAACTGCATGGTCTCGTCCCTGTCAAAACGTGGCTTGGGACTCGCAGGTCCATTCACCTCTCCTCTAAAACAGCTGTATTCTATTGACAAGTTACTGTTGATACTGTGTAGATCTTGGGTGTAAAACGACATTCGATTCCCACGTGTCAGTTATTTTAGTGTTCGGAAGTTTTTTTGTACATCAAAATGTTTTTGTTTTTATCGCTTAACTAGACTATGCGGGATAATAAGAAATGTAAACACCTGAGGAATCCTGCATTGTACCCAGTGAAGTGTTGACTTAAATATGGTTATGAAATGGAGACAGTGTATATACATTGATATAATACAATACCTTGTGGTAGGGTTATTTACTGGTTCAGGGCAATAACTGTCCATACCGGCATCTAACAAGACAAATATAATTCTAAGGGAGCTTAGCTTTTGTTGAGTACATTTAAACTTGACACGCGGCGCTTATATATATAGTCCTCTTTCATGACTTGCGGATCATCTACCATTGTTAAAGTAGCTAAAGCACTATTTGTAAGGTAGCTTTATCTGACGTAGTTAGTCTATAGCTTTTACTAGAAATAAAAACAAATGTTTTACTTTATTTTGTCAATGTGTAGACTAGATCTGTTACCGGATACTAGACAGTAGATACAGGGTAGATAAGTAGACTGTTTTCCCTGTACTTTAGATGTCCTGGAGATTTTGTCACTTGGTGAACACAGTTTGTATAAGCTTGAGACTTTAATTTAAGACTGATCTGATTGTTCTGTTCGATACCTGAGTTCATTACAATGGAAGCTCTCCATTCCCAAATCTACAATAGCCCTGACAATCAAGCTACCAATTGTATCACCTGCCAGTGTGTTGTAGGGTTATCTCCATTTGATGAAATGCCTAGAAGGTTCAGATGGCAATGCTGTTGTAATTACACCTGTATACTTCAATAATAGAATGATATCATCAACAGGGATATTTTCTGTGTCATTGTCTGTGATAGCTCTCATACCAAAAGTATTTCACTCTATAGTCATTATTGATTAAATGAGAGACTTCATGAGGGGTGCTTTGATACAGGAAATGCTTATCCTGTCCAAGCTACTAGTTCTGCTTCAATTTTTGTGGAGTTCCACAAAATCTTAGTCTGCATAAAAAAAGGTCCTTCTGTTGTGATATCTCCTCAATTCTCTGTTGTTATCATGTATTTATGTGATTGGTATACTCTGAAACCTGTGTAATCTGACACCCTATGGTACACAACATTTTGATCACATTAACCTGTGTAATCTGATACCCTAAAGGATCACCTGTCTAATCTGACACCCTGTGGGACACAACATATTGGTCAGATTAACGTGTCAAATCTGACAACCTGTGGGACACAACACATTGGTCAGATTAACCCGTCTTATCTGACATCCTTTCAGACACAACTTAATGGTCAGATTTGATGAATTTCATCATTTTAATGGATCAGATAGAATGTCAAAGTATACAGGGGTCAGTTTCAATGTATACTTGTTTCCTGATTTACTTACTTAACTGCATTGAAATCTTTCAATATTAATACAAAAAATGATCAAAAGAGTTGTGTAAAACTTAATAGTTAAAGGCGTATGACTTAAATCTCAGGTCACTGCTTTTTCATCAACTTCATTTAGAAATTACAGCAACAGTTAAGATGAACAAATCACTCAGTGTTTACTCAGAGTCATGTGTACAAAATATGAAATTATATCCCAAGTTATAATTAAAATTCATATCTTTCAAATAATTTCTTTCTAATTCATTAGCTTCAATGATTTATAAAAAAAATATCCTATTTACATTTTCTTGGAAAAGTATGAGGAAATCATTTTGTAGTCAAGGTGCCGTGAATGTTTGTATTAAAACAAAACAGTGTGTTATTTATTTAGTATTGACTGGTAAGGATTTACACCTGAGAAATAGACAGGTGTAGGTAACAAAATTAATTTAAATACCTGAACAAGGAAATGATTTTCACATATAATTTCACAAATGGTTCAATTACTATTCAAAATCAATGAGGTGGGATCTTAAATGTATTGGATAGTGGATATCAAAGGAAGTAGCAAAATATATACTTATTGAAATGATATTGACGGAAGTTTGACATAGTAACAATATTGACAAACAATGATTGATGGGGAGGGGATAATGTTTATTTTTTATGAAATAACCAAGGATGTGCCAGCTGTAGCTACCCCCTACCCCCTACCCCCTACCAAATCACTGGTTCTGTGTTGTAGCTTTCCTCAATGAGTATATAAAAATATCATCTTGGTTTTTGTCACCAACTCATGCCCCTATCTCTTAATGCCTGTCAAAGTTTTAATGTAAGGGAGATTTGGTTGGTACCTGTTCTGTCCCAGTGTAAGAGAGATTTGGTTGGTACCTGTTCTGTCCCAGTGTAAGAGAGATTTGGTTGGTACCTGTTCTGTCCCAGTGTAAGAGAGATTTGGTTGGTACCTGTTCTGTCCCAGTGTAAGAGAGATTTGGTTGGTACCTGTTCTGTCCCAGTGTAAAATAGATTTGGTTGGTACCTGTTCTATCCCAGTGTAAGAGAGATTTATTTGGTACCTGTTCTGTCCCAGTGTAAAATAGATTTGGTTGGTACCTGTTCTATCCCAGTGTAAGATAGATTTGGTTGATACCTGTTCTGTCCCAGTGTAAGATAAATTTGGTCGGTACCTGTTCTGTCCTAGTGTAAGAGAGATTTGGTTGGTACCTGTTCTGTCCCAGTGTAAGAGAGATTTGGTTGGTACCTGTTCTGTCCCAGTGTAAAATAGATTTGGTTGGTACCTGTTCTATCCCAGTGTAAGAGAGATTTATTTGGTACCTGTTCTGTCCCAGTGTAAAATAGATTTGGTTGGTACCTGTTCTATCCCAGTGTAAGATAGATTTGGTTGATACCTGTTCTGTCCCAGTGTAAGATAAATTTGGTTGGTACCTGTTCTGTCCCAGTGTAAGAGAGATTTGGTTGGTACCTGTTCTGTCCCAGTGTAAGATAGATTTGGTTGGTACCTGTTCTATCCAAGTGTAAGATAGATTTGGTTGGTACCTGTTCTATCCCAGTGTATAAGCTGATATTTATTGGTTTGGTTTGCATCCTTAACTGTGCTTTTTGTCTCATTAGAATTTTCTCGCAGTGAAGACTTTCAGATCTATCATTTTAAGGGCCTGCTACACTGGCAGAGATAACAGACCCTTTAACCTATGTAATTAAAGCTTCAATTGTGTACAGATCTGTGTTATTCTGTGCATAACTGGTGGAGAAATTTGAAATAAGAGGACAGACAATGTTTAAGCACTAGTACTGCAGTGTACATGATTTAGTGGTGCTTTACATGGGGAACTTCATCTCAGCCAAACAGAATGATATAAAAGGACGAAGGTTTATTATTTGTATTCATTGATATATTGATTGATTGATTAATTGTTTTTTTATAATCAGCAATTGTACAAAAGGTTATATAGAACAACACTTTACAGAGACAGTGTTTGCCTAGTTAAATAAAAGGACATAATTCCATCCATCATGATGTCTCCTGTCACCACATGTGGTACCCTTCAAAATGAATCCCATCCACACGTGGCACCTTTCATGCTTCTTGTCACTACATGTAACACCCTTTACAATATCTCCTGTCACCACATGTGGTACCCTTCATGCTTCTTGTCACTACATGTAACACCCTTTACAATATCTCCTGTCACCACACGATGTTCCCTTCACAATGTCTATTTTACTTAATCTGGGGGACAAAATTAAAGTTCGAAGCCATAAAACACTATCTTGATATATCTGTGTAAAAATATAATTACATCAATTCAGACTTTATTTCAAATATCTATATGCGCACACTTAATAGGGATTTATGTAAGAGATTGTCAGTATTTCTGAAAACAATTTCCAGGCATTTAATTATCTCCACATCTGAATTGTCAGTATTTCAGAAAACAATTTCCAGGCATAACTATCCTGATATCTGAATTGAGACAAGACTTACTGAGCTAATGGAAACTACAAAACAGAATTCAGCAATTTGTAAAATGTGGCGCCGATGATGAACGCTTGAAAGGCCAGCGCACTCGACGATTACTAATTACACAGTACCGTTCCCTGCTATAAAGTGACGTTTAGTCCTCTGTGATCCTGTAATATTCTGTATTTATATGGTATACCTTATCCCTCTCAACAAGCTCAATTATTGGATTCTGATATTTGCCAAACAATCGGACACAATTTTCATTAATGCGATTCCATTATCAAAGTCTCATATATGCTCTCCTGTCCGCTGTG